AGGGAAGTAGATGTACAGAAGGCAGATCCCAGAACCATACCATTAAATGCTGGTATTTCAATTTGCTAGTCAGAATTCACCTGCAAGTTTTACAGTGGGTAGAATGGAAGGTCCTATTCTACTACAAAACCTGATGTATTCATTTACACACCTCAAGACCCAGAGACCCTTCTTATAGCTGACTGTAACACATTGTCATGACCTTGTGTCTAGTGTATTTTCATGGTAGTCATATACTGTTCATCTCAGCAAGCTCCCTTTCAGCCAGGGCTGAGGTACAGAGCTCTGATATTTCACTGGAAATGGGCCTAAACGTCCTGTTTATTATAATTCTTGATGACTTCTTTCTGTATCTCTCCAGTGCTGTGGTGTATTCAGCATTGCTTTCTACTTGTCTAGCTGAGTCTGACAGAAAACACATATGCAAATAATTGTCTTTGGGTAAATTGCAATCATTCCCTACTTAAGTGTTTTCTTGCTCATCAGCCACAGAGCACTTTCACATGTCCTAGAGTGTTTTAAAAATCATAGGAACACCTGATTGTGGTCACATTTTATTCATGAACAACTGAGTGCCATCAGTTTTAATAGGTGTTTGTTTTGCTGTAATTAATTGTCTTTATTTGCCCTCTTCAATTGTGGTGAGGTTGTGGTGGACTGGAGGTTGGCTTCTGCTCCTGTGTTATGGTGATGGGATGAGAGATAATGGCTTAAGTTGTTCCAGGTGATGTTCAGGTTGGGTATTAGGAAAAATTTCTATGCTAGAAGAGTAGTCAGGAACAGAAGCAGGCTGCTCAGGGAGGTGGTGGGGTCCCTGGAGACATTAAGTAATGTTCAGGTGTTGTATTAAGGGACATGATTTAGTGGGGAAATATTGATGGTAGGTGGATGGTTGGACTGGGTGATCTTGGAGGTCTCTTCCAAACTTGGTGATTTTATGATTGTTGGGAAGAAATAGTGAGAATGGACTTTGCTTCTGTGTGTAAGTACTTCTGAGGTACAAATGCCAAGTAGAAAATGTTTCTTTTAGGTGAAGCAGGAAGTTCTGTTCCCTTCTGCTGCTCATTCTTACCCCTAAATTACTTCTTTCTCGGGCCAGAAGAGGTATTTGTAGAACATATGGGAAACCAGACTTGAAAAATATAATGGAAGAAAAAAGTATTTTCTGTGTGAATTCTTCATAAACTTGCTTAACTGCAGAGATGCAGAACCTGCTCAGCCATCATATAAAAAGATGGAGTGAAATAGGGGTAATAAGAAAGTAAGAGCAGAGGGTGCTGTGCTCTTTAACATCAGAGCAGGTTTTTATGAACATCAAGCTGAGTTCTAAAACCCAAAGAAATCCTTCATGAGTTGTTTGTTTTATGTGTTTGTTTATTTGTTGGTTTGTTTTTGCTTTTGTTTCTCCCTATTCCTGCAATATATTTGTAGTAGATTAAAATGCAACAGCTCTTGACACATCCACGCATTGGGATCTGTCAGCATGTGGTGTATCTTCAGTGTTGAAGAGCATGAAGCGCAGTGGATCCTTTGCTTCTGAGATCTTACACACTAAAAAGAAGACAAGAGCCAATAGGGACAGAAAGAATAGGACAGAGAAACAATGTGGCAACACATTTGGGGGATAGGATAGAGCTTCATTCCCTATTTAAACCATAATAACAGCCTTTCAATACCTAAAGGGAGCTTACAAACAGGAGGGGAATCAACTCTTTGAAAGGGTAGATAACAGCAGGACAAAGGGAAATGGTTTTAAATTGAGGGGGGGAAGATTGAGGTTGGATGTCGTGCATCCACCCATTCTGCAATTCTGTGACGATGAAAGAAAACAAAACAGTACTGCATCTCTGCCCAATGTCCCTGTGATCAGTCTGGGTGAAGATAGCAGACTGTAGGATCCAGAACCCAGGGACACAGCAGGAATCAGTTTTACCCAGAAAAAATAGCAAGTAAATAGCACAGCTAGCATATACTAGGAAAACGTACTTATTTTCTGATATTCAGAGTTCTCTGTGGCACTTCCATAACAATCCATTTACCCAGCTGTTTTATCTTCCTCCTTAGCATTCCCCTAAACACCACAGAGATCACCAGCTGAAATAATGCTTCCATCCTTTTTGTATGCCCACCAGTCTCTGAATACAGTGGAGCTTTTATTTTTAATTATAGTTGCAATAGGCTGCTCTGCAATGTCGTGTTCTGTCTAACCAGTGGATTCTGCACTTCCGGTAATTGCAGCCTTTTCCCCATACCTCTAGGGCTTTTTGTTGTGTGCATTTAGTCAGATTCATCAAAAGACTGTTTGAAAATGTCAGTAGACTCACCTTTTTTCCTCAGCTGATGGCTCATATTGCAACCTGCTGCTGGAGCACTGCACTTTCGTTGTCTAAGGTGTTTGTGTATGCACCCAGAGGAAAGGCTGTTGCATTTCGGAAGGACTTTTGTTAGGGAAAAGCATTATTCAGATAGCACCATATGGTAACAAGAGCATCCGTATCCTCCAGCTCCTACAAAAGGTTCTAAGCAGCTTAGTAAATGTCAAGTCATTCACGTTAAGTGACATTAATTGATTCAGAACATCCATAATGGGGATTAGGAAGAATCAAAAGTCTGTTGCTCCCTTGTCTAAGTTTCAGATGGACGTGGTGATTAGATCCCCCTCTGACGTTCTCAAAGGACATCTTAATGCATGTCAGAGTTGTATAAAAGTGTGCAGAGTAGATTTACCATGGGAGGACTCATTTTGTGATTAAAAAGTAGAAAAGCAACAAAGAGGACAGCAAATAATTTGTATGAATGTGATGAACAGAAATTAGATTCCTAAATAAGGTTTTAGTTTAAGAATGAATGGACATAAGTGAGGAACTCAGGGACTTGAATGTAAGTGTAGTTTCCAACATTAGCTACAACCGACATGTTAGAGAAACCCAACAAGAGCTTTATTTTCTGTATCAGCATGGACAACAAGCCATGCAAAGAGGAGTTTCCAGCTAGTCTGTTAAAAGCTCAAGGACTGGAATGTGGCCTGTGGTGTAGATGCTGGGGATCAGATAGGAAAACCTGGTGGAGGAGAGGAAATATAAGGGGAAAGAAGTACAGAGAGATCAATACCTTCTGCTAATGACTGCACATGTCAAGACCCTACCCTCCAAAAAGAAAAAGCAAATACAAAATTGTCTTTCATTTGATTCTATTCCAGACTGGCATGCTGGTTGTCATGACCTAAAAGGCTCCATCAATATGACCTGAGAGGCCTGAAACAATGGAATCCTGATGGGACGTTCTGGATTGGAATCTCATGCTGATATTCATTAATTGCATCTAGATTTTTGTAGAAAGACTCCTGACAGAAATATGCTTTAAAACACGGCAACCAAGTCCCTGAGTGACACAACCTGATGCTGAAATTTGCCCTGTTTTGAAGGGAGGATTTGGCTGGGATCAGACCATCACCGGTCCCTTTTGAACCAAATTGTTCTGTTCTGTGATTTTGTACGCTCAACTCTATTCAGCAGGAATTCTGATCTCTTCTTATCTTGTCAGACCTCTACTTTTCATTTTCTTCTACAATTGTTAGAATTAAGAATTAATAACACTATGCAGTGCCTGCCTCGTGTAATGGTGCCTACATTTTTCTTCCTGTTGGGTAAGAATTATTAACTTTATTAACTGATGAGAGTTGGCCATAGCTTCAACTCATCTACTGGAGATGGGGGAAAAAGCTATAAAAATCAGTCTTTGAATGATTTTTGGGATGTTTAACCACTTGTTTTTATAACCAATGTGATTTTGGAATAGCAGTTGAGCAATAAGATCACATTATGCACTACTGAGAGACAAACATAAAGAAAAGAGGAGAACTGGGTTACCACTGTTACCCTACAAATGTCTGTTTATGTCGTCATCTTTATTGTGCACATTCAGCATGGATTTGGCAGTACTATTTGATTTTTAGATGCAAATTTCTTGTATACGCATGTCTAAGATAAGGTACATTCTGATACAAAGCATACACATTTCACTATTTTAATGCAACAGTCCACACATTTCCATTACAGAGAGCAGTATGGTCAGGACTACCAAGGTACAAAAAAAGAAATTAATAGGTATCACTGACATGACCCAGTTGCCCAAGCATAAGCAAGGCATGTTGCATTTCTGAAATATCTACATAGAGCTGGCAAAAGTCATGGGACTTAGAGACATCTATACAAAGACAGCTGCAGGAATATGGAGTTCCAGAAATGATATTAAGTGCCTTTTTTGGGGTAGCCTAGGTGATCCTCAAATAATGTTTAAGCCCACTGGGAAATAATGAGTGATAAATGGAATATGAAGCAGCACTTTAATCTTACCAAGAAAAAAAATGTTTCTGTTATGCTCATCATTCTTGCTCCTGAGTGTAACTTGGTGCAGTATTTTCTGTGGCAAAACCCAGAAGCGGTGCTCAGGTCCTGTGAACTCTGAAATTTCAATATTACTGTTTATCCTTTCTGTTCCCTTTGGTTTGATCAAGAAAAAAAAGTTTTTAAAAAGCCTTTCTGAAGCCTAGGGGGGAAAATCCTCTGTTGGGGCTTGAGATCTCCCACCTGAGGGTAGCTAGATGCCAAAACTCTCTCATGGAGAATGCAGAGGGAATGCCACAATGTGGACCCTTCCAGAACCCACTACCAGCATCCCCAAGCACAGAAGGAGAGCTGAATCCACCATCACTCATAGCACAGGGAGCATCTGCCTCCAAACCTACCCTGGGTGCTCCAGCTCTGCACGTTTTTGCAGAAGTTCAAAGAGGTGGGTCCAAAACCCCAAAAGAGGATGCTGGAGAGCTTTCCTCCCTTCACCTGACCCCACGTTGCACGAAGCGTTGCAATTGTCGGGTCTCTCGAAAAAGGAGCCGGTGCTCTGGAAGGGAGGAACAAGGAGCTCCGGGGCGGGTCTTGGGCAGGTGTGGGCGGGCTGAGAAGCATTTGGCAGCCCCGGCAGAGAGAGAAGAGGGGAGGATGCTGCGGAGAATGCGAAGTTTGTGCTGGTTGCTGCTGCTGCCTTTGGTGAGTGTCCGGCGGGATGGAGGCAGGGCGTTGCACATCTGGCTGCTGCCCGCAGCTGGAGGGATCCATCGCTGCACCACGACCCGTCGTGGGGGGAAATCAAGGTGGGGGGGTTGATCCAGAGGCAGTGTAACTTTTGTCTGAGCGGGGAGTGGACAGAAGGAAAGAGATGTAAGAGAAAGGAGAGGAAAAAAAGGAAAAGAAAAAGCAAGAGGAGGAGGAATAAAGCACATTTGTGAGTAAGGAGGTTAGTTTCTGTTATTATTATTATTATAGTTTTCAAGCCTTAAAATGTTATCAATACGTCTTTCGGTTCCTGTTGATTAAAAGTGCAGTTTCCAAAGGATAGAAAAGCAATCCTAAATCAGAACAGGTGTAGTATGGCTTCAGAGGGACAGGAAGGGACAGTTTCCTGTCTCCCTTGCCATATGAAAGGCTACTTTGCAGAAGGGGGAGGATAACTAGAAAAGAATACTTTCTCCTGATGGGTATGGCATATTTATCTCTTTGAGAGGGCGCTGATGTTTTTACTCCTGAAGGCAGCTGCTTCTAACCAAGCAGGAACACGAAGCATCTCGTGTCTGCTGTGTGCTGGAGGCAGCAGGTGAGATTGTAATGTTAAGCATCAGGGAAGATGGATGAGCAGAGGGACATGTACAGAGAGTGTGTACATCCCTCCCTTGCCAGCTGCTGGTGTTGCCTGTGCTGATGAGCCACAGCAGGTGTAGGTGTAAGTAGAGTCATATCTCCTCTTCCTTGGCCTCAAAGAGTTGTCTGCAGACCTTCCTGTGTGATTCTTGGGGGCTCATTAATTCTACCTTGAGCCATATTGGAGTTAAATATTTAGCATAGACTGGGATTCAGGCTCCCTCTGTAGTCAGTGAGGAAACCATTACCTTCCCTGGAGGCATTTCATCTTGTCCTGCAAAAGACAGATGCAGTGAATGCTCCTACAGAGCCTGATTTTTCCTAGTAATGCTAGATGGTCACAGACTGGATTCTGCCCTTCACTTTTAAAAGGTGAAAAGATGCTCATTCTTACCTCCCATCTTCTGGAACACTCACTTTTTCTCTGTATTTACTCAGTTTTATTTGCAAGCGTTATGATGCGGATTCTTGCTACATAAATCTTGTTACCTGTGGTTATTATTCAACCTGAATCATCCTGCTGCTACAGGTAGAGTGCCTTCGGCAGCTGGATGGCCCTTTTTACACATATCATTGACACAGTGTATTCTTGCAGATGTCTGCAGAGCAGAGCTAACCTGATGTATCACGCACACCTGTGGGCTGCCACGCATTTTAACACTTCAGCATACTGCAGCAGTCAGTTCCCATCATAAATGCCTTATTAGGTGGGGTGAGAGAAGACAAATGCCAGGTTGACAAACTGAATGCTCCATGTAGGCTTTGTGATCGAGTTATTGGTCAGGTATGAACTCTGTCTGGGAAGAGTCAGCCACTAAATTCAGTGGCTTGCACACCTCAGATGTGGGCTAGTGGGAGTTCTGTAGTGGGGAGATCTGTACCCAGAGCCAAGTTGTCAGAGAGGATCAGAGATCCTTGGATGTTTGGGGCAAGCAGTTTTATCACGTGTCAAAGGAACACATCAGAGAACAGGAATAATCATAGTGCAGATTCTCCAAAGAGTTCTTCACTCAGATGTGAAAATAAACCAGAAGGGTAATCCTGAAAACTTCCTCTATGCATCGAGGTACTTCTTGCTCATATCAGCTCCACAGAGATCTGCATGTCACAAGAGCTCCTTTGTGCCTTGGAGAGTAGTCCTTGACATTAAAAATTATCATTTGCTTGTAAGTGACAAGCAACAGAGAGCAGTAGGTGCTGAAATGCATAAAAAGGACTTTTCCTGTCTTAAAGATCTCAGAATCTCAGGGAAAAGATAAGGAGGCATTGAAAAAACACTGCATTCACCATCCATCCTGCTGAGCTGAACTGCTTTCTTCTCCAAACACTTAGCAGCTTTTCACATTTCTGGGAAAAGGCTTCTGTCTGATTTAATGAGTGGAGGTGAGAATGGAAACAGAGGTGGGTTAGCACTGAGGCAGTAGGCACATAGATCCGAATCCATGGCGAGGAGCTGTGCTCCCAATAAAAGGGAGCTGGGTGCTTAAATTCCTGGCATAGCTACTATTCACTAATTTGAGTTTAAGGGACATGCAATTTTCTTCTAGGATCCAGTGGCCTTAACTTCCCCATCCATAGGCGGCTGGAGGGATGGAAGGAGCAGCTCAGGTGTTTTGTTCTGGAGGGGGCTAATGGAGGGAGACGGGTTCTGTATGGTGAGACTGTGTCCTCAAAGAGAGGTAGGAGAAATCCTTCTCTCGAACTGTCTGCCTTCATTGATTATCAAAGGAAGCTTGAATAAAGCATCCAAAGTTGTCCATCAAAAACTTGGAATTAATGTCTAAAGCTACTCGTTTTGAGTCTCTTCATACAACTGGGAAAGGGTAGAAAGGCTCAAAGAGCAATAGCTATGGCTTTGGTGGAGTGAGATTCCCAGTTAACTTTAACATCCAGCTTTCAGTTCCCTGGGATTAGGTGATATTATCCCCACCCTTAGGCTAACCCACTTTACACACAGCAACGGAGAAATTTCTCTTTAGTTTAAGCACTGGAAATAGCAGAATGGAGGGATAGTAACATGCTTCTATTCTTTACGTATTGGTAGTAATTAAAGGTCTATCAAATTTATGCTGGTAACGCACTCTCATTTTCATTTTCCTCAAGATAATACTAATTACATAGAGTTTACAAACAAAATAAGCTATTATATCTGTATTGTCACATACAGAATGACCTGTGAGTGATAGGTACACAACACTAATACACATACACTGACCGTACACAGATATGTATGTATAAAAAACACTGTTCTGTACAAGGCCATGCAGTTAAATACAGTCCCATAAATACAATCCAATACACAGGGGAGCATTCAAGCATTACTCCAATGTCTTAAAAGCAATCTTGAAGAGATGTTCCTCTAACGACTGTAAGGCAATCAGTGTCTCATCTTCTCTTGTTCCATAGGTAATCGAGTTAGAAAGAGGAAACAAACACTGAAAATACCCTCTAGATAGTCATTTTAAGCTAAAATGACTCCTGCAATAATCTATTTAGTTGGCTGAAGAGAAAGATTGGAAATAGGACTTTACCTTTGGGGTTGAAAGTTTTGAGAATCGAGGCTGTGTCAGAACTCTCAAGTTAAGGACAGGATTTTCTATGATAGCCAAACACATTGTTGGTGACTTTCCAATAAAATCAGAAATGGCAAACGGGTTTTGGATATGGTAGAAAAAAATTGGACACTGGCTGGTTTTTACATTCACATTTAAGCTTTGATGGTAAAAAATTGTGGCTACTTTTTAATAGTTTCTTCCAGTTTTCCAATAGAATGGAATTCTGTCTCAAAATGACAGGATTGTTGGGGTTGGAAGGGACCTCTGGAGATCATCCCATCCAATCCCATTGCTAAAGCAGTTCCCTACAGTAGGATGCACAGGAAAGCAGGTTTTTAATTTACCATGTTATAATACACAGGCATCACTGATAGGTCACAATGGATAGCAAAATCCTCACTGCAGTGATGATGAAGTGGGCACTGAAATGAGCAGGAGCTTACGGAGCTGTAGGTTTGCCTCAGCTCCTTTTGGAGTGTATGGGAACATCATCTCTCACTTGGATGTGGCCTGTGGCTGCCGTCCCAGATCTACCCAATCATCATTTGGATCTTTAAGAAAAGTGTCAGGCAGGTGGAGAGAATCAGGCCTGATGGAGGGTTTTGATGAGCTGTATGCAACAGATTGAGAAGTTTATGAAAATGCCTGATGACTACTTTGACTTCTTCAGTGATTAGAAGCATATTCAAATCTTTTTGTGAGCCGCCTTTCATCCTATGAGCTTATTATATTCATCAACATTTCAACATTGAAGAAAAAAAGTATGCATTTTAGAGCACGTTTTGATTCTCTGAACTGCGTCTTCTACACTACTGGCCAACTTACACAACCATTGTGCAGTTAAAACCAGGCAGGGAATGCAGGATATTTGAACGTGGCTTTCTGTGTCACAAAATACCATTTAATTTACCCAAGGTGGGAGTCTGTATGATACAAATGACAGATAACTTTGGCTTGAATGTGGGAGAAAATATTCAGGCATCAGAGTTGTATCAGAAAAGCTGAAAAGGAGAAGCACAGATACAGAGAACAGGGAGTACAGAGACAATTTCAGAGAAGATCTAAGAGATGAATGCAAACTGTAGAGACAGAGACCGAAAAAGCAGTGATGAATATTCTTAGTGAAGGATTTATGGACTTGATACATAATCTATTTTTCGGATTTTAGATTTGGACTGCATTAGAAACTAACCAGATCACTAAAAAGACCATTCAGGTTCTTGAAACGTTTCTAACTTGTCGATAAGTTCAGATTCCATTTTTTTAATGAATAGTCAAAAAAAGATGAAGTGTTACCAAATTTCTCCTGGCTCTTTGATCCCACTGAATTGCAGTTTCAGAAGTGACTAATATATTAGTGCCCAGCTTTCCAGCATTTTCCTTATTTTTAGAGAGCATAGAATTCATCCTTATTTTTTCCCATGTGTGATAATAGACTTTTTAATGACTGAAGATTTGTCTCTTATGTGCCATCTGAATTACGGTTTCTCTACCTCCACAACAGCCTTCAAGCACCATCTTTGGATGGGCTCTCAAAAACGGATGCTTTTAACTGGCAAGAGATTTTGCAAGAGGTTCAGGTTGGATATTTAGGAACAACTTCTTCCCCAAAGAAGTCAGGCATTGGAATGGTGGTGGGGTCACCATCCCTGGAGGTGTTCAAGAAACATTCAGATGGGGTACTAAGGAACATGGTTTAGTGGGCAATATTGGTGGTAGGTGGACAGTTGGACAAGATGATCTTGAAGATCTTGTCCAACCATAATGATTCTATGATTCTATGCTAATAAAATGTTGTTCAAGAGTAATTATGAATCTAAAATCTGGCTCTATGAACTGTCTCAGATTTTTAACATTCCCTGTCTTGTCATAAGTAACTTTTTCATGTTCATTTCTGATTATTTTTTTTTTTCCAGGCAAGACTGTTTCAGTGGTCAGAACTCAAATGTAAGACACCCCTGTGAGCTCTGACTGGTTGCTGATGTTCAAGCCAGCTCAGTAGCTCAGCAATGCAAGACCTCATTCCTTTGAGTGCTGCCCACAATGCTGCATGAAACAGCTGTGTTTTCAAGCCTTCTGGTGAAGACACTCTATAATGGAATTTACAGTAAATTCAAAGCCAGGTTATTGCCTTGCCAGCAGGAAATGATCACCGAAGCACCATTTTAAACCAGCCTCTTTGGCTTATTACCATGGCAGTGAAGACTCTATCAGATTAGACATCTCGGCTTTGGCTCCTAAATTACCCCTTTATAAGGTGAAAAAGAGAAACTCTTTTCCTGCAAGAGCTCAGTGGTTATAGAAGGTTTATCCAAAACTGCAGAACTGTGTCCCTGAACTGGCAAAACAAGGAATGCAAGGCCCTTTACTTTCTAGAAAACCCCATCATCTAACTAACTGTGTCTAACTGCAGACACAATTTAGAGCATCAACAGGCACTTTTATCTTGAGGCCCTGTGAGAAATAAGAAAAAAATAAGTAAACCATACCTGACAAATCACAAGTAATGTTCTGCCCAGAAGGCTTTTTGCTTTTCTGTAGCTGTAAAATGGTTTAATTTCTTGTGTATGCACCATTTCATCATTTTTGTCCTTTTTTTTTTTTTTTTTTTGTTGTTGTTGTTTTGTTCTGTTACTTTCGGTAAGGCTTCAATAGTGTTTCCTGACAACACCATCCTCATTTTTACTTCTTGTAGAGCAGGCCATAGGTTACCTCTGTAACTGCACTTGATATTGATTTTCTACCACCAGACTATCAGAAATATTTTATCTATGCACTGGCATATAACAAAAACTCTGGTTCTGATAACTACAGCTACCCTCACCCCAAATGCTATCCCTTAAAATCAAATAAAACGTGCATGCTAATTAATTGCTAAACCATTGACAGCAGAGGCACTGACTACAATCTCACCAATGGTGAACATCAGCAGTAGTTGTCCAAAAATTTCTGAAATAAATCCTAAAATTATGTTTCCTGATGATTCATCATTGCTGTCAGAGTCAAAACTGCGTGGTCTAGGGATCTGTTCTGCTACAGCAATTCCTCTGTCACGTCTAAAACCAATACACAACTTCCCTACAGGTAGAGCACAGTCTTCTACTACCACTGCAAATTATTTTCACTCCACTCACTACAGTGCAGCTCTGAGTTATGGTGACTTAGGGACTGGTTTAGCAGGTGTGGATTTACCAAAAGAAGAAAAAAAGGAGATGCAGCCTCCTCCTTTAGGCAGCAGGAATTCTGGCATACATGTTCCCCATTTGACAATGCATTTGGGAGAGCACAATTGCTCTGTTTCTCATTATGAGTTCCACCTGTGAGCATCGTGTGTGTTGCTTAAGTTGGCCTTTGGAAAAAGGTATCTCTTCCCCCCCGTTGAGACTTTTTATTAGTAATTACTTGTCTGCTTTTCCTATTCCCTACACTTCCGGCATGAAGAGGAATGTTAAGTTAACCCATCTGCCCCCAAATGCTTTTATCTCAAGAGCATTTTGATTCTCTGTTCTTGGTTTTGATTTTATTTTTGTGCTCTGGCTTTTCAAGTCTTTTGCCAGAGGACTCAATATAGATATTGTAACTTTCAAACATCAAGCCTAAGAATAATCCATTAAAAAAAATTCTCATTAACAGCAACAGGATCTAGGAATTTCAGAAAATGAAATAATGACTTGCTTTCTGTCTGCCTGACTCCATTCCTATAAGCAGAAGTAATGGATTTATGTAGTAATTATTTTCTTACTATTACTCAGACTTTTTTGTTTGTTATGTAGACAACTGAAATGCATTTTAAATGGTAAAGTGATAAATGGGACTCAGATTAAATCTGAAAAATTACATTTCAGAGTCGTGTTACTACAGTAGAACAGCACGAGGTACTATTTTAAGAATAACTTATGCTGATTTATAGAATGTATTTCAAATTACTGCTGGAGGGATATTATGCCTGAAAAAAAGCAATGCCTTAAATTTCTTTTCATACAGTGTCCTTAATCCTCTTTCTGTTCTAATATTAGGATGTATGAACCATTTCTAGAGACCCATAATTAAATGTGCTTTGTCCACGCTACTTTAAAACCCAAATGTAGGCACAATTTTTGAAGGTTTTTTGGAGACAAATTTGTGTTCCTACTTTTTTATTCCTCTAGGCAGATAATCTTGTAAAAAAAAGTCTACATAGCTTCCAGTACCACCACTGACTGAAAACATTCTGAAAGCCAATAAATCAACTTCCAGTGACTGAAAAGGCAATAAAGCAGCAATGTTTTCATCTGCGCTGTGTTTTCAAAGTCATTAGAGGTTTAGAATGGCCTACAGTCTTTCTCAGAAATCCTTCAATCCATCATTTCAATTAAAATCAGTGCTCTCAAAGCCTTTGGCTTTATTTTGAATAGCTGGCATTAGAGCTGCACTATTCCATGATTCCATGTCATGAAGATCCCACTATAGCCAGTGAAGACTCTGGTGATCTATTCATTTGTCTCAACATAGCTGATGTGCTTTCTATGCTCTCTTGACTCTAATGATTTTGATTCACTTGCTTAAACATGCATGCACAGAACTATTGAAGACAACCCAGACAGAGTGCTTGAAATTTTTAATAGGTCTGGCAAAATTAACACAGGGCTTACACAAGTGTATGGGAACTGTTGGTCATGGCCTGAACCTCTGATTGACCACCTGAGGCAACCAATGAGTCAGCCCTAGGAGCACAGGTGAAGGCAATTCACCTGTGCTACCAGAAGGGGTGGAGCCTGGCTCCACCTCTCCTAGATCCCATTTAAGAGCTGATTACCACCAGATTGCTCCCTGTGGAGTTTACTGTGAGCCTACGACACCGGTGAGCATTTATTTAGATTATCTTTCTATCTTGATAATCTTACTAAGCCTAACCTTTGTACACCTACTGATTGTACAACAAAAGTTTTGGGATAACCTATGTTACTTCGAATGTCATTGATCCTCCCTGGATAAGTGAAACATCCCATGGATTTCTATTGACTGCAAAAGAAGCCTGAGTAACAAAGTCACACGTAGGCACCAGCAATATAGAATTTCTCAGAGTTCAATGGCTCCTGAAGAAGTACCTGCCATCGTTATCAGATGTTCTAGTCTATTAAGAGCATCTTCACAATGAGAACAGACATGATGCAGCTCTACAGAGGATCTGAAAGTTTTCAGAGTAGGAGAGGGAGGCTAAGCAAAATATTTGAGAGTGCCTTAATGACATTAAGTATCTGTACATAAGAAGTTGTCCCAGTTAGCAGAGCTGGTTGATGATTGGAAATCTACTTAGCTGATCAAATGTAGGTATCTTTATCTGAGAAATAATGTAATTCCTTCAACTCCAAAATGAAATAACTCTTTTTTGTTTTTTTTTCCTTTTCCTCATCTGGTGAAATGGAAGTAGTACCTCTGTGCACATCCTCAGGAAGTATGGTGACAAAATCATGTAATCATTCAGTTCCATCTATGATCAAGTGGTTTTTTTTTTTTTCTAATTTCTGTAAATACTTGGGCTTTACTTTTGTTTATTGAAGTGCGAATGAGCACTTAAGTTTTGTGAAAAACACAGATATAAGGAGGATCTAGCATAAAAGCCCAACTTCAAGAAAAGGTGTTACATAAAAGGTGCTACCATGGAAAATCCCAGCAGGGATGCATACCCGCACATGTATATAAACTGATATATATTCAGGATCAGAGCCTCCTTTTCCTCTCTGTCCGTCTTTCTGCCATTTATGTGTCCTGTTTGCAGAAAAATCTTCAGCTTGAGTCTGCAAAATATTTTACCTCAAATTACAAACCCTAAGTTACAAACAGGAAAGAAACCCTGCTCTGTTTGTTCTGGTAATCACTGGATTTCCTGGTTGTTTTGTCTTTTGTCTCATTGAGGTTGTGGGAATCCATCCAGAATGCAAGATATTTCAGCAGGTGGTGAAAGAAGAAGCACTCTGCTTAGAAAGGAACGAATCTGTTTCACCTGATCTTAAAGGTAATGGTCTTGATGGCTAAGATCTGATATTAATATGAATTGTATCACTTCTGATGTGTGGTGTGAAGATATCAGTTGTTCTTTTGGGTCACAATTTGATCTACATTCCTATCCTCTACTCCTATTTGGTATGAAGTGCTTCTCCTGTTGGCTGGAGCTTTACCCCATCAGCTTTTAGGCATCTTTAGAAGCTCAATGTCTAAGTCAGGATGTGTCTTCTTAGATTCCCTTACAGTCAGTGGAGGAAGGTAGATGTCCATAGAAAATTTTTCACTGCTTCTGGCTTAGATGCTTATTTTAGGATGCGATGAATCATTCTTTACAGTCATATTTCTCTTTACTATCTACAGGATGAGACTAAGATGATTAGTTCGTACTCTGAAAAATTTTAGATGCATAGTTTGGGTAGGAAAATCATACTTGGATTATTTTTTTAAAAAAACATTGAAATAGAAGAAGCTTACAGAGAATATAGTTTGAGCATGGTTTTTAGTATATTATGTTGAAAATCATTTAAATTTTGGTGAAAATTTTATTTGCTAGAAGGAAAAAAAACAAATACAATCCCAATTTCTTCAAAATATTGTGGTTGGGGTTTTTTTGTGTTTTTTTTTTTGTGTGTGGGTTTTTTTTTTTTTTCGAGATTAGGTTGGGCTGGATGATCATGGAGGTCTTTTCCAACCTTGGTGATTCCACGATTCTGTTTTTTTCTGTAGCCTATCCAATTGCTTTGGTACCTGGCATTCTTCTAGTTCTCATCAATTTTATCTTATTGTTATTTTCCTCTCACTCCTTCACCCCCTTTCATCAAGTCCAGAATACCTCCTGGATAGATTCTATGCTGGGAACGCCTACTAAAAGTCCCCCCCAAAACTCTGGTAGAAACCAGGCATCTTCCACCATGATTTGTTGAACACTTTTTCCTCTTTGAAAGGTGGAGAACAATATTCCAAGTATTTTTTTCTTCAACAGAAAAATAATTGCATGATTCTGGAATCTCCTTTGTAGTAAAAGCCACTAAAAGTAATACAGTTCCCTCAGATCCCTGTTAAACTATTTAAAATTCTTAATTCTGTTAAAATCACACTTTCCAAGTGTGATTTTTTTTTTTTTTTCCTAGTGATTCCTTTCCACATGAATTCTCTAGAGATGTAAAGAATTTAACAAAAATCTCTTCTGCTTTTTTTATACCCTTTCTCAGAATAGTTTGAAATGAAACATGAGACCAGGAAAAACAGCTCATGCTCAACGTTGTACCTATGGTACTTATGTCAATGGGAGAAGTCCCTGACTTGTTTCTCAGTTTTCAGGAAATAAACTGAAAGATCACAAATCATACAGAGTTACTTCCTAGCAGAAGGGAATCAGAGGTGGGATTCATCTACATTGCAGAGGTTTTAATCTGAAGTTGTTATGCATTTTTCTCATTGTACACAGCAATGTCTAATGAGTTTCATCAGAAGACCCAGGATATAATTCCTCTCTTGTTGATGTGGGTAAAACAGGTCAGTTGAATCAAGCTCTAAAAAAGCAAATCACACCCTAAAAATGCCTACTCTTCTCTGCTGTCTAAAAAGGAAAGAATGACTGAAGCAGTCTGAAATATTAATGATGTCAACATTATTGATGTAATTGCTACTACAGTTGTCTATATGGAGTCTCAGGTGACTGCCATTCATTAGTCTTTTGAAAGCCTCAGCATGCAAAGTGTTCTCTGCATTCTGTGGCCTAGCCATCAGTTTTAAGTCACTGGAAATGGAGCCCAATTTGAGACTGAAAACATCCCAGTTCCGTTCCCAAACAAGGATCTGTTGCTTAATCTCACGTTGTTAAATAGGCTACATTTTTATCCTAGAGCTCCTTCATGATTTTTGAATGCTTTTTAGAGGGACCCTTTTTCTCCTAAGATGCGTGGACCACTGCTTGTCTATATGGAGCTCAGCTTACCTAACTTTGTTCATTTGCAAATTAGCAGCCTAGTCTATAATCACCAGAGAGACCTGAGTACATGCAGTGAGTGATTCATCCTGTCCTCAGAAGGGAGCCACCAGTATGTGGGATGAATCATCCACTGGAAGTCCCTGTCTCTTTACACTGATTGTAGGGGGAAAATGGCTAAGTTTAGCTAATGTATTTTAGACAATTAAAATTAGAGATAATAAATTGGGGCTTCTATTTTCCCATTTGGCAATTTGGGGATAGCAGGAATTTCATCCTCGAGAGGGTGGTGTGAGGATAACTTAATGAGAGATTCTCAGGACTCTCCTTTCTGAAGCCAAAGAGGAACTCTGCTTTGCTACAAGCAAGTAATATTGCTTCCACATTTCAGCTCCTGACAATTTTAGATTTGCCCTCTCATCAGTCACAGAGGAAACAAAAGAATCGGTGAAAGAAAATAACACCTCCAGAATAAAACTTGTGCACTGTTTTATATCTGCCTTATAACTGCCTGGAGATCAGTTTCTGCTACAGCATGATGCTGGCTTTTTTTTTTTTATTGTTTTGGGCACCTTTACGTAGTTGGTAATTTTTCTGTGCTGCACCCACACCTGCTTGACAAAAGCCACTGCATGACGGCAGCTGGAGTCTCAATGTGAGGCATCAGTGACAAAGCCATGATTAACCTTAACTTCTGATAGCACTTTTAATTGGACACTTGGTGCTGCATCTTCAGTCAGCCACCTCTGGTGTGGGGAACCTACGACTAAGAACCAGGCAGGTCTGCTGACAATGGTTGTTTCACAAGATGCTCAGAGAAGTTCTCTTGCTTTGGGATGGATCTAATGCCTGTTGAAGTCCACTGACAAAATGTTGGCTGATTAATGGCTGGATTTCAGCCTCTATGGGTTTTTCTTTTAAGTCAGTTGAAATGGATAGACTTTAGATGTGAAATCAAGAAGTTAATGTTGGATTTTTCAATTATTTTCATCTAGACTCTGAAACCATTAATGAAAAATCTCAAGAGCTAGTAATTATTCCATATTTTTATTTTATTACTTCCATTTTGTTTTGTTTTGACAATAGAAACAGCTGCAGTTGATTTGACTTTCAGATTGTGTCTGCTTGAATTTCATGTACATTCTTTCCAAACAGAAGGTAGAAGTGCACTTGTGAAGGATGATACACTCAAGAGGAAGAGGAAAGCAATACAATCCTTCATTTGTAGAGTTTTGTGGCCTCTTGTGACTCTTCTTCATGCATACATATAAGTGGGAAAGCCATAGACAATCTCATTATGGCAAATCAACTCCATGTATTTCCTTTACTTAGAATCATTTATTTTTTTTTTTTAATTTTGTTTTTCTTTCCAGGATGTGCCAGAGATTGGGATGGTCTAAGCTGTTGGCCCAGAGCTGCTGTGGGGGAAATAGTTAAAATTCCTTGTCCAAGATTTTTTGAAGAAATCACCAATATCCATGGCAAGACTTTTTTCATATTCTTATTATCCCTACATGGTTTAAAAATAAATTCTAGTACCTACAGATTCAGTAACTTCCACGTTTTCATGATTCACAAAGCCATCCAATGTCAGCCAACGCAGGGTAATGATGCACATACACATCTTGGTTTATGGTGGATATTCGATACTTTTCTGTTTCGTGTGTAGTACTGAATTACCTAGTCTCCTTGATCTAAAAACTATGGGTAATTGCACTAGATTGCTGAGGTTATTATAATGGAATACATCATAGAATCACTGACTTATGAAGTCATGAAAAATTAAGTTTAGAGTCAGAGCAGGATCAAGTTCAAGGATTATATCTGACTTCAAAGCTAGATCAAGTGGCTCAGGGCTTTTTTCATACACATAAATTATGTTGTGAATGCAGGATAGATTTCATGATTTGATTTCCTCTGTGTGAAGATTGAATTTACAGAAAGAACATCTATATTACCTAAAAGAAATTCTACCTCTTGAAATGAACGGGAATATCCGTGTTAATTTTTAAAGAATAAACGTTCAGATTATTTACTGTGTATGGCTAGTTGTACTTAACATGACTAAATTGGCAAGGACCAAACTTAAGAATCAAAATCATTTCTTGTCAAAATATAAAAATAACTAACAGCAGAAAACGAACAAACAAAACCCAATGTAACATACCCATCCTCTAATTAATTCTCTGATATGTTTTGCCATTAAAGGCTTCCTTCAGAGAAACTGCACAAAGGAGGCATATTGGTCAGAACCATTCCCATCATATGCTGTTGCCTGTGGATTTGATGAAGGTTCCAGCAAAGGTCCTGAGGATCAGGTGGGTTTTTATTTCCTGTTTGTGAACGTCTCTAAAACACACTCTCTTGTTTATGCTGAGTAGACAGATATTTCCACATATCTGAGCCCCATCAGAATTCAGAAATGATCTTTCTTCAGTGTTAAGTTCAAACCTATTAAGTAACAAATTAGGCTTAATATAAAGCTCTCCATCCTTTGTTTCTCTTGGTGTTACTCAATAGATTTGTGGCTAGATCACCTGTCCTGTCCAATAGAATTTGTTTCTCTGAGAGATAGGATTTGAATCCACATCATCTTCCAAGGAAGACTTACCAACCTGCCATAGGAAACCACTGAGTGTAGTTCCAGTGCTTCCCACTGCATTGGTGGTGGTAGTTCTTCAGTGGATGAGCTTTGCTTTGTGGCTGAAGGGTATTGATTTCTAAAGCCATGGTCACTGCCTCTGTCTCGTGAGTTCTGATCTTTGCTAAATGGAACACAAGAGAACAGGGTGGATTCCCACTCCTTGTACCCATTCTGCATTGGGCAAGGCTCCTACATCTCATACAAATGCACTAGACCCTATACCATAACAGCTCACTCCTCTCGCTGTGGTATTTTGATAGAAGCAATGGACATCTCTCCAATCTGGGAAAGAAAAGACTAATTTATCCTTGTGCATGGTCAGAGTCCTGACTCCACAGTGGAAAAAGATGATTAGCCACGGATCAAAGCAAGACAAGAGGTTGAACAGGACTGTTTTCATTAATACTCCAGCTTTTTTTGTATTCTGGTGTAAGCCATTAATTTGGCTCTTGAGGTGTAATTGCTCAAACACAGAAGTAATAGTTCAATTATCTGAATCTTTAGAGAGTCTAGACATAGATGGATTCATCCTAATGGATGAATTCTGTTTCCATAAAATTGGAAACAGAAGCATGGTTGTAATAGGCAGTAGAAATATCTGGAGCAAAATTCCCCAAATGTAAACCAAAAAATATTTATATTTCTCTGCTATGTGGAGAAGCTGAAAAGAAAAACGCTTAAAAAATTCTTCAGGTTTGTTATCTCAGTCATACCCTGAAGGTCCATGAAGAGAATACAAAATGAAAAAGCTCTACTGTTCTGTAAACAGAAGGAAGCAGGTGATAAGAACCCCACTTATGTTCTATGAGGATTACTTCTTTTATATTTTTTATCTTCAGTGAAGCATCTTTTGTATACAGCATTGATTTTTATCTACCCTAGAAGAATATATAAAGCACATCAAAACACTTCCTTATTCAGCTGAAGAAGCTGTTTTCTAATTTGAACCTTTGTTTTGAAAATACCGTAAAAAACATTAGCGGTATTTCAGAAACACCAGGATGATTCCTACGTTGTCAGGGTTACCTGATTTATTTATGGATCCACTTAAAATTGCTAATATATTGCCTCAACCTAGAAATGCTGTCTTTGGAGAAACAGAGATTGGATCAATTAGAGAACAAAGTGTCCACTGCATTTCCAAGGAGGAAAATTCAGAAACTTGTTTTCTTGGGATTTTGAATAATCAAGGGATCCTGTAGTAAATTAGAATAAAATGTGCATATTGCCATTGGATGAACTACTTGTCCAAGGAATTAAAGATAGTGAGGTTACTTTCATGGCTTTAATTTTCTCACTTTCACGGCGCCATGAGAATTTTTCACAGAGCTCTGGTTTCCTCACCTTGCTATATGCAAGTTGTATTCCTTTTTTAACCATAGCTCAAATCAGCATGAAACATCCCTTGGCCTAAAAGGAGTACAGTATGGCTCTCATGTAAGTGTGCTGATTCACGAATCACCCAACAGCAAGTTATGCATCCTCAAATCCACATACACCTATAGGATAAATTGTAGTTATTTAACAAAATTAGCATGCTCCAACTATTTTATGGTGACTATTTTGAATGAACTGATGGGCTGTGAAACCTGGCTCACATGTATGAGGGCTTCAAAGTTAAATAAATAAATAAATAATAATAAATAATCAAAAGCATGTTAGTGATGGAGGGAGAAACCTAAATCAGGTCTTTAATATCTAAAGCAGTATGTAAGGGATGGGACTGACCAGTGAGGGAACTTGTATCTTATTGAAGCACACCAGTATGCATGCTGCATAACCACCAGCATCAGTGTGTGTTCTCTTTTTCTCATAGAAATCATATTATTCTGCATTTTGGCGTGTCTACACTGCTGGCTATGCAGCATCAGTGACTACACTCATTACAGCTCTAATTGTCTTTGCTGCCTTCAGGTAATAATAATTGGTCTCTTTTCAGGATGTCTGTAGACAGCCTCATCCTAATTCTTTTCAAACTATCTGTGTTTTTGTTTTTACCTATTTTCAAACCTTTCTCAGATGTTCTACTGTCAATGGCAATGAGTTCTTCTATATTCATGTGGTGTCATTTCCCCCCAGAAGCTAAAACACTAAAGCTGGCTGGATAGTTTGTCCTGGTCTCTTTAATTGCACCATACAGTAGAAATGCTCTAAGCTGTTTTTGCTATTAACATAAATATTTCTCCAGTACATAGCAGGACAAACCATACACAAACTGAGTATGCCTCACTTCCTAAACCTGTAATCATTACAAGCTGCTCATTCCTTCTGTGGAAGACATTATCAGGAGCAATGGAGAGAGGTTGAAAGACATTTATATGTCATGTTTGATAATGTTAGATATTAGGAAATTAATCCTGCTTTTGATTGGCTTCAATGCACCTGGACAAAAGCCTTAAGCTTGATCTCCAGGCAAGAGCACAGACAACAGAAGCAATTTCCTAGATGGAGTGGGCAGTCTCTCTCTTATAAAGAGACCCAGGTATAGAGGTTGATATATCCAAATCTTGAAGGAGATTCCTTCATCTCAAGTTTAGACTGTGGGCAGGACCATGTAGGGGAAATTGAACTTGGAAAGTGTCTGAAGTAATCCTGTATTCCTGTTTGAGTTTTGATGAGACCGTGAGAAATTTCTCTTGAAAAACGATTTTCCTTTTCTTTCTCCACGTCAGAAAGTTCCATTGTACACGGAATTACATCCATATGCACCTGTTTGTCTCCTTTATCCTGAGAGCAATTGCTGTTTTCACCAAAGATGCCGTTTTGTTTGCAGATGAAACTATGGACCACTGCCTGATGTCAACGGTACTAAATTTCTGCGCTCTCTTTTCTTGAGTTAATATTTAATTCGTGATTCGAAGAGAACGTAGACGTTTCTTAATCCCATTTCCCTTCAGTTTGCAAGAACTGTAATCTTCAAACAAGCAGTATCACAAGCCATGAGATCAAGTGCTATGGGTTACATTCATCTGTAGTATATAATGCACAACCTCGTTGAGTCTTATGGAGCAGTATCCATTTCTATCATATAATCATATATATATATATAATCAGATATTCTGTTTTATTCAAACTTCTGAAACCTTGTATTAAATTCCTCAGTTTCTGTTTGGCAAAATTCAATTTTGCTTATACTTGTTGAGAACCAAAACGCAATGGAGAGTACATCTAATAATTTTTTTTCTTCCTTCCCATTTCCAGGTAGCTTGTAAGGCTGCAGTGGCATTCTTCCAGTTCAGTATTTTAGCCAATTTCTTCTGGCTTCTTATTGAAGGAATATACCTTCAGACACTGCTTTTGCTGACCTTTGTTTCGGACAAGCAATACGTATGGTGGTTCATCTTTGCTGGCTGGGGTTTGTACTGTTTTCCACTTTGTGCTGTTTACCATTTCTACTTACTTTTAGAACTAAATAAAACATCCTGAGGTTTTCTCTGATAATTTCATTTGAAGAAAGGTACCTTTTCATGCAGGGGCACCACATTAAAACCATACCGTTATCTATATTTCTTACCTTGTTAGATACTTCGCCATTTAAAACTTTGAAGAAGGTAGAATGGATCATTTGAATAGGAATATCCTAACGCTTCTAAAGGCTGCTGCGCTCCTCTTTATGACTGGAATTAATTTCATGCAACTAATGTCATTATAAGTTAATAATCTAACTCTAAGCTATCTCTCCAGGTTTCTCCTGTAGTCAGTAGGGTGAGGTAGGCATGCTGTGGTGGTGATTAATCCGTTCCTCAAGCAGATGACTAATGTGCCTGGATAACAGCCTGAAAACATCTTGCCTCCCTCCACTGACTGAAGAAGTTTGAATGACCAACTTTAAGTTGACACTTTGCTTTTATGAGGCAGAAAGAGATTAATCTGAGACTGCACAGGGTCAGATCTAGGAATCAATAATTCTTTCTTTATTTATTTTTTTCAGAAACATTTTCTGTCTTTAAGGAATCTTTTGAGTGTATACATAAATTTGAAACATCCCCCAGTATCAGAATAGGTGCATTTAATGCATAAAATTTCAGTGCAGATAATTGTTTACTGCAACTCTTATCTTCTTGCACCTCACTTCAGCCATTCTAAAATAGAGACACTTTAATAGAGAGATTACGGAGCGTTTTTATTTTGAGAGTGAAATCCAAATTCTCACAAGTTACACTATAATTTTCCCTTTTTCTCCAGATCCTCAGACTTTATTTGACTTCATTAGAAAGAAAACAACTCAATTTTATAAAAGGGATATTAATTTGGAGCTACTCAAATTATGATTGCCAGAAACTAAACACTTAGGTCCTGATTAATAACAGCTAACATGAAATAACAAAGAAACACCTCAATTAATACTGCAGCAATGCTCATGTCCTATAATCCATCAAAAGTAAGAAATGTCTCGGGACAACTCAGGTCTTAGGTATTATGAATACAAATATTTCTCTTTGTTAATTAAAATGTCAGTTCTGAATATTTAAAACTATGTTTTGAAATTGCAGTTCCACGACACCCCCTATCCTCTTTCATTTTAGTTTCATGCTGCTATTCTACATGGATTTCTTTTTTCTCTGAACTGAGAGTTAAGTTTTCTGTAATTTGACTTTTGTCTGTGTTTCAATGAGGCATCCAATCTGCTGCACTGTGAACATTCTTTCAATAAAGTTTCCATAGAACACAGCATTAAAAAAATATGTTTTTTCCATGTTGATTTGCCCAGGAGCTCCCACTGCTGTGATGCTTACTTGGGTCCTCACAAGACTCCATCAACAAAACACAGGGTAAGTCAGTGTTTGAGTAAGGAAGCCAAGGTCATCTAAATTTATAACGTATTTTGATTTACTAGCAGGTAAAAAAAAAATAGAAGTTAATAACAGATAAACAAGAATATTGTTCCAAAGGTGTGCCTCAGATCTTTAAACTTCACGAGAACATGAGAAAATAGTTTCCAGATCTCTAATTTTGATGTACGTATATTGAGTAATTAAAACTCGAAATGCCACAGCAAGAGTTGAAATCATGTTTTGTTTCCCAATGCTCAATCCTTGAAATAACTGCACTTGAAGAAAATCAGTGCTTCCATTTAAAAACAGCCATGAATTTCTAGCCTTATCCTTTTCAAACCTGCACCTCCCAAAGACACTGTTACATCTTTATAGGTAGTTTTGTGTGCTATTTTCCTTCTGTTCTTTTTCATTGTTATTTTTTGTCTTTGAACATGAATGCCAATTATAAACAGTGGACTGTTTACAAAGAGCTGCCCTGAAGGCCCTCATGTTATTTCATATGGATGATAAGTTGGAAGAGATACTATTTCATATCTACCTTGTCAGGACTCGATTTAGTGAGGGAGAAATAATAAGTCCTATAGTCCACACTCTGTATTTTGCTCTCATCTAATTACTGCAGTGTGTCTGCAGCAGATGTTCTCCACTGTAATACTTCATAAGTCGTCATCCTTTCCACTGTATGTGCACGGAAAGGTGTGAGGAGGATTTCATTTTTCCTCCTTTCCTGTTGTTCCTCTTCTAAAGAATGACCAGACTGCTGGGTTTATTTGTTGAATCTAGAGAAAAAGAGCCTGGCACAATTGCAAAGGCATTATAAATAAAGCTCAGAAGGAAATTGGAGAGTGTGAACAAGAGATCTGACAAGTTCTCACAGTTGAAGAGTCCACGGAGATTGTGGATGCCCCATTCCTGGAGGCTTTCAAGGCCAGGCTGGATGTGGCTCTGGGCAGCCTGGTCTGCTGGTTGGTGATCCTGCACATAGCAGGGGGTTGGAACTGGATGAGCATTGTGGTCCTTTGAAACCCAGGACATTCTGTGATTCTATGAAGAGGAGACTGGAGAGCACTGGAACTTTGAGTGCTCTTCCAGCAAAGCCACTACCCACACTATCTTCTTCTCTAGTATACTTGTATGTCCATTATAAAAAAGAGATTAGTAACATCCTGTTACACTGCAAAGGCAGTGTAATGGAATAGCTCCAATGAAGACGTTTATAGAGCTGGAACATTTTCATTGCAGACACCGTCATTCATTTGGTTGCTCCTCTGGTATCAGATGTAGTTTCAAACCACAGTATCAGAACCATTCTTTTCTTATCCAACAGCTAATTCACAGGCCTAACAATCTGAACTTACATTAATGATGCTCATTACACTCAGACATGCTGGTTAAGCTATCATCTGTAAGCTCCAACGTTATTCAGCTCACTATCCTGTGTCACAAAAAAGAGAAAAGAAAAAAGAAGGAATAAATTTCCTTCAAATTGGGCTGCACGTAAATTTTCTGGGAGGTATCAGGGAAAGAATACTGGTAGAGGTCTTGGAGTTATCATTTAAAACAGCATCCATCACTTTCCTAATCAGTGACAGAAATAGTTCTGTATGTTGTGAAAAGTTCAAATGGTGCACGTAACATTATTGCTTTTGTTTGCCTTTTCAGATGTTGGGATGATGATGAAAATGGAGTGGTGTTATGGATCATCAAGGGCCCCATTCTGTTAACTGTACTGGTATGTTTCTGCATTTTTTTCTTCAGTACGTTCTGAAATCTTACAGCTATACTAGTGTTTCTTCCCCATGAAGTGGAAAAAAGCAATGCCATATGCCATACTTGACTTTTTTGAATGTCAAGGAGTTGGAAATTATAGTGTTGGTTGCTTTTTTTTTTTTTTTAACCAAAAATCCTAAATCACAACTGATATCACACATTTTCTGGAGTCATCCTAGGGCACTGCAGAACCACTTTGACACATCCATTCCACATACCATGTTCTTGCCTGCGTCTCTGCGTTCTGTTTCTGAAGGATGTCCATATTGACATAGATATCTCATAGATAATAGGAAACTGATTTAATTCAAGAAATTTCTCCAGACCATTTTATCCAGTGTATTTTTACAATGAATTCTTACGATGTAAACTCATGACAAAAATTGTCTCGTGTGCAAATTCATTCCATCTAAATTTAGGAAGAAAATAGTATGTCATTTAAGACTGTGTCTATTATAATCTGTGTTATTATTAATGAAGGAAACTGGAGGGACTACTTAAACTAAAGAATCTTCTAAGACTTGACAATAAATGCAATGAGATAACATCAGACACAGAGCAATACTGAGATTTGTATACTTGACTCATCCAGCAAAATTTTGATCGTATTTTTATAGATAGCTATATAATGGTGGGAGAAAGTAATATTATTTCTAATGATACTGATATGATCTGAGAGCAAATGTCCACTGTTTATGTATTTCCTATTAGTAAAGATTTGTAGTTAATTTATATCAATTGAAGATACTTCCTGACTTGTAGTAAATTTACATATTCTGTCTTGCCTTTTCAGGTTAACTTCATTATATTTATTAATGTCATCAGAATTCTAGTCCATAAATTGAAATCTCAAGAGGGAGGGGGGAGCAATTCAAGCCACTTTGTGTAAGTATTGTAGGCTCTCTTGAAATTTACCCATTTTAGCTGCCCTAAGATATTATTTTACAGGCAAGGAAACAAATAGGTTACAATAAAGAAAGAGAAGTCCTCAGAAGAAATAGTAAACTAAACTTGTCTTTTTATCCCAAATGTCACGAGTTTCTTCTTTGGGAGGAGGCAGGAACCTGGGAGGCATGAGAGGGGGTGGAGGGTGAGAAGAGAAGTCTAATGCAATGTACTACAGATGCAAAAAGATCCAACTTATAATGAGTAAATATATTCAGGTAATGCATCCATCTTACTTGACGTTTCCACACAGACAGGGAAAGAAGCAGATAATTTTCATTTTAATCCTCAACAGTAACATGCTATTAGTCTATTAATGACTGAATGTAGTCTGCCTTGTTTACTAACCCCTTTAAAATCAATGCGGATCTCAGTGATGCAGACAGAGGACTAGCATCCTGTACTAGCAAGATATTTGATTCTTCCCAAGATGTCTTTTAGTTACAGTGCAAGACTGTGCCCTTCTGGAATGATCTGAACATCAAGCAGAAAGCCCTAGGGCATTGTTCATAGTTCTAGCACCAATGCTTAAGCAACAGATTCAAGTCTTGTGGACAGTAATAATCAGATCGTCCTTGGCAGCTGTGGAAGTTTAGGCGTTTACATGGTAGAAACCTTCAAGGAATTGAGACTGGTCTCAAAAGGGTGGATTAGAATGCCCTGTTTGGTGCCTCAGCAGTTGTATGCATAGCATGGAGAAGAACACATAAGGATCATTCTGAAGTACTTACATGCTGATTTGTTCATCTTTGCTGGCCAGATGCTGACAGTGGGAGTGCCAGAAAACAATCTTTCCACAACTTCGTTAGATATAGTTGCATCCATTCTGAGCTGCAGTAAAATTTGTTCCAACAAAACTGTTGTCACTAATTTCACACATGTAAAAATGACTTGTTCTTTGATCCTTGACTTGCCAGGAGACTTGCTAAATCTACGTTGCTCTTGATCCCACTCTTTGGAGTGCACTACATCGTATTTGCATTTTTCCCAGAGAGCACTGGTTTGGAAGCTCGACTTTACATTGAGCTAGGCTTGGGTTCCTTTCAGGTAAGCAGAACAAAAAGTTTATGAGTCCTGAGAGGTTTGAGCTGAAGCACCACACTATTTCATTATTTAGGTTGACTATCAGAGTAGGTGTTAATAATGTGTCTAAATTCAGCGCACACATTCCATCTCACTCTCAAACAAGCTCTTTATGTTGTTTGCTCCCCTATCTTATTATTTAAAATCTCACAATACTTCTTAGTTCTGACTCATTCTTCACATAATAAAAAGATGCACCTACATTTATGGAATAACAGTGACTGAGTGCCACAAAGATCAGCCTGTGGATTAAGGAGGACTAAATGAAAATAATTCCACATGTAACAAAGAGGATGATAAGAGGACTGAAGACATAATGATAATATATAGCAATCTATTCTGCTCTTACCCTTCATTAGTAGCGAGTCCATCATCTGAACACGTCCCTTTTTCCTTTTCCATGTTGGACTCTGTTTGGAAAAACATCTGTTGGCCTAAGCCAAATCTGTGCCATGGACCACATTAATAATTTACCAAATCAGTAATTTAACAGTGCTCAGGACTGTGACTACCAGTGCTAGCACAGTCTGCAGAATGGTTTGGATGTGGGCTGGCTAACATTAGTAATATTATAAATATTCTGGATTCTGCTGAGACATTGAATCCAGATAAGAAAACCCAGTAAATAGTGCCATGTCACCTAAATCGGAGCAACAGAAAAACATATACTGTTGCTGTCTTACTCAAATTTTGAATAAAAGATGATGTTTTTCCCCGTTTCAGTGATCCAAATCACAATGGTTAATTTTTTTTCTCTATTCTCCCTGTCCTAGGGCTTTTTTGTTGCACTTCTATACTGCTTCTCAAATGCGGAGGTGAGTAGCAAGTATCTGAGATTATCAAAACCTCTGAAAATAATGGATATCTCTTATTTTTTTTTTTTTTTTTTTTTTTTTGATTCTATAATGAATCTGTGCTTTGATCTGTTCCCAAATGCAGAAATACCCAAAATTCTTTTTCCCTTAGCTGCTTTTTTGATTCTAATTGTATTCAAATAATTCTGGAAGAAGGACAGCTGAATCAGCTATGAAGCACTGACCCTTTACAAATGGTTGGTGACTTTCCTGTCGAGAGACATTTGCTCTGCTTTACCTCTGATAGTTGTCACAGGATCTCAATGGAAAGCCTATAACGCTGCACTTTCTTCAGGTTTATTTTCTCCCACAAGTTTATTTCCCTTCAATTTTCCAGTAAATAAGCAATGGCCAATAGCAACTCCCCTGTATTCTTCTGAATTTTGGAAACTTTATTTTTCAGTGTGAATGTGGATGTAGTTTCAGTCCTTCTAAAACTGCATGAAGGCTTAATCTTGATTGATTTGAGTGCATCTAGGCCTTATAGCCGTGCTATAAAATATTGGTATATTTTGTTTTCATTGCTCACTCTGTCTTTATTTTCTGATTGTTTTTAAATTCCTTCCCTGTAGGTTCAAAGTGAACTCAAGAAGCAGCTGTGCAAATGGCGGTATCAAGAATACCTGAGCTTCACACACAAACATGGGACTGTGTCCAAAGAAAACAGTCCAGTCAACTATGTCACTCAGTTATCACTGCTTGAAAAAATCAGTCCAAAAAGGAAAACACCTGCCAACCAGAATGGTGTAACTTCTGTCTGAAATTATCTAGCAGGCGGAGTTGCTGTGAATGCACTAAGGCATGGCCAGTTTGGATTCTTCGTGGCTTTCAAAGATTCAGTCAGTCACAGAATAACTTGGATTGGACCTTAAATATCATCTAGTTCCAATCCCCTTGCCATGAGGTCATTGCAAGCCACCAGATTAGGCTGTCCAAGGCCCCATCCAACCTGGCCTTGAGCACCTCCATGCATGGGGCACTCTCTGGGTGGCACTGCCAGGGCCTCACTGCTCTCTAAGAATTTCTTCCTAACATCTGACTTAACTCTCTTCTCCTTTAGTTTAAAGCCATTTGCCCTTGTCCCATCACTATCAAGTCGTGAACAAAAGTCAGTCCCCCTCCTTCTTATACCTTATATAACTTATATAAGTTCCGTTCAAGTACTGAAGGCCACACTGAGGTCTCCCCAGAGCATTCTTTTCTCCAGGCTGAACAAGCCCAACTCCCTCAGCCTTTCTTCACATCAGAGGTGCTCCAGCCCACTGATCAATTGGTCTCCTCTGGACCAGTTCCATCCACTCCAACCCACTCCAACAACTTCCCATAGCATCCACAGATTTCTGAAAATTTCATATCGTGAATGTGAGTTGCTTTTCTCACCTGGTACATATTAGCATCACAACTCCTGTTCCCACTCTCCCTGAACACAGAAAATCCCGTTATTTTTTTCACTGTTGTGAAATGAGAGACTTATAGGTCTTGGACATCAATAGGTTAACACCCAAAACAAAGAAGCTACATTCATTTCTTCCATGTCCAGCACTTCCATCACACTTCCACACTTCCATCCAGTATTTCCTGAAATCTCCAGTTTTTAGGAGTTCTGTAATTTATCTTTATTTGAGAGAACTGTAGATTACATTATTGCCAGCCATTGCCATTGTTTGTTTTTTGTTTTATTCTTTTGTGTCTGTACAATGGAGAGATTAAGTCAGGCCAGAGGACCCCAAATCTTTTTTTTCCATGACAAAAGCTGAAGTAGCTGAACATTAGGAAGATTATGTGTGTACAAAGGAAGAACATACAGCAAACCTTATCCCATCTGGTCTACCTTGAGTTCAGAATAATTTACAAGCCTTGTGTATCTGTGACAAGACACTGGTCCTTGAGTAGCTGCAATAAACCTTATGTTGCAATATCCTTGAAGGTTAGCTGGATCCATCAATTAAATCCACAGATAAACTGTGTTTTTCTGAGTTTTTGGGTCCTCCTTTGGAGGATGAACTTAATTCTGTGATTGCTCTGTTGATTTCACTTCTGCCTACCATTTCTCAGCTCATTACCACTTCGATGAAGAATGTGTTTGAGGTCAGAAGTGATGCAGAGTATGGTCTAATAAGTCACGTCAAATTAACGCCGTGCTAATATCACTACATCACTTCCAGGGTGGCCTTTCTCTTTCTGTGGGACTGAGTTGGGTTCTACATCAAACTCTCCAAAATGGTGTACAAAAGATATACAGAACATATCTGTAGTTCATTACAAGGTAGGACCATTCCCAAAAGTGCCTGCATCTAGTCTTGAAAACAGTGCTTCTGGCCATTCAAGTACAGGCTACACTTTCCATGAACTGGAATATCAGTTTAGCTTCAAAAAAGTAGAGCTCTTGCCCCCTTTTGTTTTTTTGGCTGAACTCCTGGTTGATTATTTTGGCTAGGAGATATTTGACTGTGGAAAACTCTTGATTTTTTGCTTCATTTTTGGCCTGATGGCTACAGGAGAGACAAATGTTTCTATACACATAATTCAGACTACTCCTTTATTGCTTAGGCATGTAACTCCTCTGTCCCAATGAATCACATGCTTTGCACAAGGTGTTACCTTGTCTGTTCTGATCACGCTATTAGTTTTATTTGTAGGAGTGAACCCATGATAAGCACACTGTGTAGCATAGTGATTTGAACACAGTTGTGTGATTTACATCTATAAAATGTAAGTGATAATTAAAACTGTTGTGTTTGTGTCTTGTATCAGTTTCTGTGTTTCCTTTGGGACTTTTAAAAAAAAAAAAAGAAAAAACAACAACAATCATAGAATCATAGAATCAATCGTAGAATCATAGAATCATAGAATGGCTTGGGTTGGAAGGGACTCCAAGGATCATCCAACCCTCCCACTGCAGGGTATTACAGTTGTGTTTGCTATGGTTATACAGGTCTGAAGCCAAAAAGTATAAATAATTATGACCTCTTTACCCAAGAGAATATTTACATTATATAACCTTGATCATGAAGCTTCAGTTAAGGTCGTATTCCCCTTCCAAGACACAATCATCAAGATGCAACTCTGTGTAGCCTACTTCTATAAATTTATGTTCAGCTATCTGACTAATTATGAATGTTCTCTCTAGGCAATATCTGCATCGAGCAGCATTGAGTTGTATGACATATGAAGGAACAGGCACACCATTTCCTTTCCTCTGCCTTTGGGATTAGCGAAGTTGGAGTGACTTATGCTTCTCCTTTTGACTAACCTGAGAACATTTCCTCAAAAAACAAAAGCTCACATAAAACTCATGCTTAAAAACTGCCATGAGGTTTGATGTTTTGGAAATTTCTGCTTCCAGCACAGTTTCCCCCTATTATTTTGGCTTTCACCCATCTTTGTGGTTTATTTGGTGAACATACCAACCCTCTTGTGTTACACAGCAATTCTCACTTGCCAGTTGAGCTCCCAGAATGACCTGTATTTGTCTTTCAGACCAGCTGTATGCACTACATATCCCTTCCCTTTATTACAAGATTCTCTGCTGGACCAAGGATCCAGGAAAAGGAACTCATCTCACAGAGAAGCAACACAATACCTCAGATGTTCTCCAGCAACTTAAGCTACAGGATCTGCCTGGATCTTGGACAGAAAGTTCCTGCATCGCTCTTTATGCTTTTAGCATTTCCATGTCTTGTATTTTCAAACACTATAAGTAAGAAGGGGACATGCCATGTAGCAGAATCTGCTGTGATGGGGCAAGAAGAAATGGTTTCAAACTAAGAGGGCAGATTTGGATTGCACTTAAAGATGTTTTTTACAATAATGGTAGTGAGGCACTGCACAGGTTGCAGTGAAAGGTGGTGGTGCCCCATCCCTGCAGACACCCACAATCAGGGGATGAGCTGTGAGCACTGATGGAGCTGTGGGTGTCCCTGTGCACTGCAGGGAGTGGGACCAGATGGCCTTTAGAGATCCCTTCCAAAGTGAACCATCCTATGATTCTATGATTTTAGAACAACGTGTGTAGGCCATAAGCTGGAATTGAGGGCTATATTAAGTTATTTTGCACATATATAAAAAAAAAAACAACAAACATTAACTGCAAACATAATTTACAGAAGGGCGTGCTTGGGAAAACCTGGTGATGAGGCTGATAATCTCAAGGAGTGCAAAAGTTTCTGAGATAATGATTTGACATGGGTGATGGTGTGTGCATGATAAGGAATGTGCTAGGGATGTACTGCTTCATCCCAAGGCTGTGAAGGCAGTTGCCACAAAGGCCATCGAACAGTTCTGTGCATCAATGGAAGGCACTGCCTCCTTGTGGTGCACGGGCTGTGCTGAACGTGCACAGTGACCACTGAGCATTGTGCTCAGGCACTGCTTGCTGCTCACAGCACAGATTTGCCCTCTCCTGAATGTCAGACTGATCTAAAAGTTATTCTTTCAGTAAATTATTGCTGTCTTATATTGGCAAGTTGGAAGCAGGACATGGCTTGCTCATAATGAGAATAAAACACTGCTCACATCTTAGGTCTCTCTCTTTGTAGGTCTTCACACAACCTAAAAAGGAGTTTGGCTTTAACACCTCTGTTTTAGCATAGGGGTCCATAAATATCTCCTCAAATAAGGGGGTTGTTATGAAGAGAGCTGTGGGATTTTCCCCACTCTGGGAGCAGAAGCAATAGACCAAGAGGGGAACAGCATCTGAGAGATGCTTGGCTGGGGTTACAAAAGCAGAGGGGTCCCAGGGATCTTGGGGGGAGATTTCTTGTCTGTTTTGGCATGGACTTGCATGCTACAAGGTAACATTCATCAGAAATCCAACTGGGAAAAAGCTCTACCTGCCAGGCAGGTGGTTTTGGATAGACATGGATAGACATCCTGAAGTCTATGACTTGTGGCATTGAGGGTTGCGGTCAGTGGGCGTGGTGGGGATGGGTTGAGATTAGATGATATTAGAGATCTTTTCCAGCCTTGATTCTATGATCATTGAGCATATCAGCTGGGAAAAGATGTCTTCCTTTAATTGCCTAGCATCTTTGACACAATTTAACTCTTTGGATATTATTTTTTAAATCACTTTGCAAATTCCATGAACAGCTGGGAAGATTAAAAGCAGCAGTTTCAGCCATTTCTCTTGGGATTATAACAGAGACAGATAGATGAGGTGGTTGAAACTTCTCACCAAGAACAGATTTTGAACTCCTACAGTGTCAGCATTTTTTTCCTCAAAGCTTGATTGTGTGGACTCCGAATTAAAAGAGGTCCCTCATGAAGGCAGCTTGCCTCCTCTGCCAACAATGAGCTTCCACAAGGTTGCATTCCCAAGTCTGCATAATCCACCCACACCTGAGCCTCCAGAGCAGTGCAAAGAAACAGCAGAAGGTATCTAAAAAATAGAAAATTAAAAAATTAAATTAAAAAAACAGCAAAACAAAGGAAAGCAAAATGAAAGCCCCATGCTTGAAAAACATTTAGTATGATTACTGCCAGAAAAAAATCCAAATGGAAGAACTGGAGTCAGCAACTGATGGGCACATCATACTAGGGTATTTATGATCCCATCCTGGGATCAGAGTCAGCGAAGACATTGCAAAAGTGGGATTTGGATTTTTAGGGTGGACATTGCTGAACTGTATCATTTAAACATGTTTAGTATAAACTGGGTACATGGGGTAGGACAAGAGGGAATGGCCTCAAGTTGTACCAGGGGAGGTTGAAGTTGGACGTTAGGAAAAACTTCTCTAACAGAGTGTCAGGACCAGGAATG